CTGGGGATTGGTAGTACTTCTGCTTGTCATCCGAAATGTTTGCTTCCATAATTGTGAATATGTCTACATCATAGGTTTGTAGGATTTTCTGGACTTGGAACTTTTTGTCCTGTGACATCCCTCCAGAATTCCACTGGAGGATCTACAGACGCTGTGATTCGCCCTGACGAGGGCGATATCTCTTATAGCATTGTTTCAAGCTAATCATAATAAATAGAAGTCAAATCAAATGCTGAGTGATAGACTTTTTTGCCGTACGAAGGTACGTTGTCCAGGGTGCACCACGTGGAGGTAAGTCTATCGCGCATCCCATTTTGTCAAATATGAAACCTCTCATAATCAAATTTTCTCACAATGGAACCACAACTCAACTAAATTGGTTTAATGATTTCTATTGAAGAGGTTATAAAGTTATTTCTAGAAAGAGCTTAAAGACGTTCCTGTATATCTCATTATCCTTTACAGATTTATTGAATAATATTTCGAGTTCTGAAAGTATTGAGTTCTCCAACCATGCGTCACTCTTATCCACCAAGACATTAATGATATCAGGTGTTTTTATTTCTTCCTTATGTATGCATGCAACCATAAGCATCTACTTACCACTTCGTTTGCTTTGTCGGTCAGCCTGCAACGCTAAATGAAGATATAGAAAAAGTGGCTGAAATCGTGCATCAAATATTCTGATGGAGCTCAAGATCGAAAAATTATGAAAATAAATTTGTGGATATCGGCCAATTTCTTTTGCCACACCTCAACACCAATTGCTATAAAATTAAAATTTTCAGTTCTGCTGCTTGAAGCACATTGTCTTTTGCTAAGATACAATTGACTTCGACTAAAACAAAGGAAGTGGCTAATGTTATCTCATTCGTAAACATTTTAAGCTAACCAAGAACAAAATTTTAATTCGTGTAAAGAACTTTTGGCTTTTGCTAGATTTATAACTGTCAAAGCAGCACCTATACGCGCTCTCAAGTTCATGCAAATAATAGACAAATGGGAGACTACCCATGAAATATTCTTAATTCGAGGCAGAATACAAATTGTGTAGATTTGAGCTATTTTTATTTTCATTTAGTAAGTATTTAATTATCTTTGATACCAAATAGAAAGTTATTGTGGAGAGTCCACATGATCGAATCCATTTGTGAACATCGTGAAGACAGGAATTTCTCTTTAATTAAATTTTATTGTTTCTACAATCCCCAACTGCCTTCCGTATTGTCTGATGAGATTGAAGAACAGGTTTAAAAAACGTAAGTAGATAGAATTAGTATAAATAGGTTGAAATATTTTATGCTACTTCAATATAAACTGCATAATGAATAATGCATTAACCAATGCACTGGAATATGATGGCAAAACCAAAAAGGCTTGATAGATTGTAATGAAGGAATAAATGGAACTCTATTACTTACAAACGCATAATCCCTTTTCAATCAAATCGTTACAAAAAATAGAATAATCAATAATGGAGAAGTTGTTTCGTGAAGTTCACAAAAAATTCTTTCCTATCCTAAAGCTAAACAGATGAAGGAGGTGCTCAAAAAAATAAGCAGAGTCAATCATTTCTGCTTCTTATGAATGAATACCCTTAGAAAAATAGATAAATTACAAAATATGTCTTTTATTTTAAGCTTACATTCGAAGAATGGTGCTTGCATGCTCAATTTAAGTGAAAATGGTTTCCGCTCAAGCGAGAAATGGTTTTATTCGCTTAATTATTTCAACTTTACCCAAATATTCGAACGCTTTAACCATCAAATCGAGGAATTTATAGGTTCATATAAGAATGTTTTGTTGGTTTTGAAATATATAAGTAATCTAATATGGAGCATATAAATAGATGTCCAAAGATTTACCAACATTAACCTTAACAACCAGATGAAATAGTTAGAGCATTTCGCCACTTAGTTGAAACAGTAAGGTTGATAATCACATCATTTTGTTTTATTAAAGCTGAATATTCGATTAAAATGTAAATAAACTGAATTTTTACGATAACTATTTTTTATCAAATGGTAGGTTTTATGATATATATCATCAGCCCCCTGTCAATAAATGCAGAAGCACCAAATTGTAAAAAATGTAGAAGATGTCCGGAAAAATTTAATTTTTAAATATATATTTCCATTCAGCCAAAGAGCCAAATCACTTACCAATACAAATTAAATAGGTATATAATACACAGTTACGTCCTAGCAGTCTATATAGAATACCAACAGCCAGTAGAAATCAGCGTTGGCAGTGTTTCAGCCTTTTTAATAACGGGGATGGCGTCCTTCAGTTTGGTGAGTTTCTCGTCAGTTCCTAGACTATCACTTATATAATGCAAACATGGTTGCCTTCTAAAATTTTATTATTTCCACTTTTAAATGATTTTTTTGTAGTTGTGAAGTATGTATTTGCTTTATTTTTATGGGTCTAAATAATGCTTTCTATCTGCATTAAATTCGTACTTGTTGGTGTTATCTGCATGTTTAATTGGAACTTTTTTATATTTCTTGCAGATCCGTAGCTTCTCAACGTCCTCTCTTGCACGGGCCATTATTCATGTAAGTGCTTTCCTAGATTTTGAGCTCCTTGATTCTCCGAATTCGTAAATATAATTGCACTTGTTATAGCCACCCACACAATTTTTTGGAAGAGATGGTCGCTATGCCACTGCTCTTTATTCTGCTGCTATTAAATCTAAAAATCTTGAGACGGTAGAGAAGGATCTACTCAAAGTTAAGAGTACCCTATCAGCAGATAAAAAGTTCCGTGAGTTTTGCCAAGATCCAACTATCAAACGTCATGTAAAAGTTCAAGCCTTTTCTGAAGCCTTAAAGAAATTAGGTCTTTCCACTCAAGTCAACAATATGCTTCGTGTGTTTTCCGTTTTTACTTAATACCAAGATACATTTAGACATCCTCGCTGAAAATGGTCGCCTTAACACACTCCCAAAAGTTCTCGATACCTTTGGGCAAATTATGGTTTCTCATCGTGGTGAAGTATCTTGTGTTGTAACAACCGCGAAACCGCTTGATCGCGCCACCGAAAAGGATCTTTCCACTGCCCTTGAGAAATTCCTTAAACCTGGACAGAAGCTTAACCTTTCACTTAAGGTTAGTTTTATGGTCCTTCTCCCCTATGTTTACATTTGATGTAATTAGAATGTAACTGATTTTCTTTGGGTTTCAAGGTTGATCCCGAGTTGATTGGCGGTATGGTTGTAAGCATCGGGGACAAATACGTCGATATGTCCATACAAAAGAAACTTCGATCCTATAAGGCTATATTGGAACAACCTGTGTAAACTACTTTTGGTGAACTTACTAAGTGATTAGAATTTTTAGTAGTTAATAAAGACTGTTAAAATCATAAAAGTTTTATGGGCTTTCTTATTTCTAACAGTGTGAGATTTTCATTCCAAAGCCCAATATTCGTTTTACTAATTGATGATGCTTTGGTTTGGAATGTTTGAATTGATTTAAAATATTTACATCTTCTAATTCTTGCGTTTGAAGCTTTCATGGTTTGATATCGGATTCTTTGTAACTTCGGCAGCTATTTCAAAACGAGTTCTCCACCATCAGGGTTGATAAAGTGATACTCACGAAAGCGGTTGCTGATTTAGTGTTCATCCACTTCGCTTTTTGTTCCCAGCAAATAATAACTTGCTAGCACGTTGTTGCTTCTCTGTCGAGACCTATAGTCATGTTTAGCGCGTAAAGCATTATCTCCATCGGTTCCACCCTCTGATGTGGTTATTGTATGCCTGCTACGTCTTGTACGAACAAAGGAGTTCATCGCTTCAAAGTGTGTCAGATAAGTAGGTTTTCTCTAGAACTACCTATTTATCCTTTATGATTAACGCCTTGACTAGATACTGTTATCATTTTAATCATCGAAAAACAATGTGCAATCCTTTTACTTTATAAACTGTCCATTTTAGATACTTTGATCTCTTTTATAAGAGCATTTTCTTGCATTCATGAGACTGGGGTCGGCAAATGTATCTAAAATCTTTATGCTTCTCAAGACCTTTGGGAATAAGTGCGAAAGAGGAAGATCCCTCGCACTAGGCTCTTATGGGAAATTCGCGTTCTAGGCCTCCTCTTAGAAAATGAATCGGGCTGTTCTTATGGGCATCGGGCTCGTGACCGCAAGCTTTTAGATTCAATTTACCGACACGGGTCCCTTGTCATCATATTCTGATGAGTTTCTGAACCCAGCACTAGTATTGAATGCATGTACGAAATCACGAAGGGCTTTGAACGAATTTCCTTACCTGTTTTCATGAAGTCAAAGATTTTTTTAATTAAGTGTCGCACCGGACTCTGCATTTAAGGTGGGTATTTTCTAGGTTATTATTTGGGCATAACAAACTACAGGTAGAAAGTAGTTTGACTAGCTTTTGTACTTAGAATGACACGCACGTGTAACCTGCAGCAGGGCAGGGAGCTTTCCACAAATCCACGATTGCCAAAGTAAAATTATTTTATTTAGACTTAGGTTGGATCACTTTGCAATTTTGTGCTCGGATGTTTATAATCGATGCACCAAAATTAAAACCCTCACAAACATTGAATGATTTGAATTGATAAGGTGAGTTAGGTTATTGATCGATATAGAGGTGACCACAACACCCATTAGGCTTGTATATTCATACTCTTTAACAGCACATTAAAACGTTTAAGAATATTTTAAAGACATAATTAGACTTTTAATATTACTAGTTAAATTATATTAATTTAAAAAACTGAAGCATCCGACATTTTTCAATAACAATTAAAATTCCCTTCTTCAAGCACCTTATTAAACCGAGTTTTTGTACTTGGCCGACCATAAGGAAAACGACTATCCACTCGACCTGCCGCACAAAACGACTGAAATTAATTAAATTGAAAAAACTGATTAGCACTGAATACCACGAGTAAATTTGAAAACAAATAAATAAAATATAAAAGTTCTTCTAATTCTTTTCCGATAGTGGATAAAGCAGATTTGCGCATATTAGACTCTTCACAATCTCTCCAACGCTGTACCGCCTGCCAAATAGACCGTTCGTATCAAAAAGGATATTTTCTTTCATAATATTTCCAAAACTTCCTCTGGAGAGCTGAAGTGAAGGAACATAGGTACTAAATAAATCTTTCGAATTTTGGTAAAGTAGAATAAACACTTTTAATTACCTCGATAGTGAGAAATGGAACACGAACAGAATCAAGAACGGGGGATATGATAACCAAATCGGCTAGATAAAGGAAATAACGTTTTTAAACTTATTTTTAAAGCACCAAATTACTCTGATAAGGACAACTTACTTCTAATAGAAGCAATATCAAAGAACCATAAAAGCGCGGCTTCCAGTGGAAATGAAAGAATCCAGCAAACAAGACGTGTTAAAATGGCTTTAATGCACACCAAAATGATGAATATCTAAAATAAAGATTTCGAGTCATTATCCGTAATAAGCACAGTTTGTTCCCTTTTTAGAGTTAGCCATTCTGATAATTTCATATCTCGATCGGTCAAATGATTTTAGGAAGAAACTACGAACCACAGAAAACGACGCATAGAAGGCGACCGTCGTCGGTAGCAGACACAGTCCTGTCGCCACACCAAGGAAAGTCGCCACAAAGACTCGATCTAAATGTCGCGACTGGCCAGTAGGTATACATTCTGTTTCTGAATCAGCCTGTCCCTGGTTTTCTGAGGAGATAAGAACAGCGTTTGCCACTACAGGTGGAATGTCATCATTTTGTGGAATCGTATCTACACGACCTCGCAAAGGATTCCACTTTGAGCCTGATCGACAGAGTCGCCAACTTGCTGCTACGGTTAATAATTGGACTCGGAATAGCCTAAGAGGAGAGAGATGGAGCAAAATTGGGAAGGCAATTTGTGACATAAATAGTACACCTTGCATCATTACTCGCTAGTAATTATATAAATAAGGAAGAAAATGACTTACGGGGTCTGAAGGCTTTTCAGAAATTAAATAATGACTTGCAATATAAATCAAAGTGGAAAGGAAGAGTTATTTGCACTTGTCAATAGAATTCTATCAATTTTGAGCTTGTGGGAAACGTCAAAATGGTTGAAGCAAAGAACTGCATGCATGTACAAACATTATGAAACCTTGCTTACGCTATGTCAATTCCGCCATGAGTTAACGAGTACAGAGACCCCTCGGCCAACCAATAGCCACAGTCATTACGTAGTTATCATACCCGAAAGCTGAACTCTCTTCAGTCATCAGCATTCCCTGCACCACACTCACCCGCAGTGCAACTCAATGCATAACATCACATGAATACGTCTGTTTCTGGTAGCTTACCTTATCTCGGGAACCGTTCCAAACTAGGAGAGTCTGTCACAGAGATTACTGAGTACAAGTCAGGTTCGCTACAAGATGGGCACTGGCAAAAGGGATCAATACTCGTGCGAGTATATGGAAGAGTGATTTTGTATTTCAACGAACCTCGGACTGCAAGGAATTATAATGGATAAGGACTAACAAATGGCGAATAATGGAATGAGATTATTTATTAGAACACGATTCTCTTACATTATTAATAAATCCAGCTTAGATAACGGTCTAATTATACAATGTCAAAAAAAAATAAAATTATTCAAGGATCAAGCTTAAAAAATTATTAATTTATGCGAAAAGACTACAATCTACTCAATCTAAAGAATAGAGACCATGTTTGAGTAACGAAATATCATCAGGAAACATAAAAGGAAAATAGGCCCAAATCGTGTACCAAGCATAACAAAATCGTACATTTAAGATGTAACGATTCCCTATTCCTAACGCTTGCGCATAATCGTCGAGACAAGTTCAATACGAATTTTCTGCCATCAAAAGTCTGTATGCACTCTTATTAGTGACACAACAGGCTTCCAAACATGCAGCGACAAAGCTATATGCATGCATCCACTTGTTCACACAGCAAACTATGTACTATCGTTATTATTTCACTGATAACATTTTGCTAGTTAAAATTCTAAACTCACCGAACTGTGTAGACGTAGAAACAGCAGAGATGAAGCGTCCCCAACATAAATATATCCAACCCAACGCAAATTATTAGCGATGCTGCCAGCCTTGTCGAAGATGATATCAAATCTATCAGAACACGCTTTGCCTTGCCACTACTCAACATCATCTGCAGGAATACCGTTGATAAAAGAAGGATGAGCAAGTGGAAATACTCCAGATGAAGTCTGACCACGAACATCGCGTACAGCCATTCGAACACACCGGAAGTAGTTTGAATTAAAAAGTGTACGTAGAAACGCCATGCTACAATATGGGATATAAAAAAGCGGCTCATCAGAATCGCCAAGCTTCGATTGATTTTCCAACCTGCCGGTTCAGAAGAGCCTAACCAGATGAGAAGACGGTTCAATTCCGAGGCGAAATGATCTGTTGAAGAAGCGGTCAACTCTAGGACGCACCCATGTCGTAGAGCACCCCAAGCTAGAATGAGAAATGAGTTGAGAATGTCGGTGGGAGTTTGTTGAGTGGGTCCTTCCGAGGCAGAGCATGCATTTGGATTCCGAATGAGAAGATCAATAACACCACAACTTCCCACAAACTTGGAGGATAGATTTTTCGATTGAAGGGTAAGGGACAGGGATGTCAATTGACTCATTGTCTGATGATAGGTATGACATAGGTGTTGAGAAGAGGGCGAGAAGTTTGGGAGATGAAGAACCGCAGACAAGAGAAGAATAAGAATCAGTTGAAGGGCAATAAGAATGTTAAATAGTGAAATCGGAGATCTACTGGTGCGGAAATAACGTCCAAGGAGACATAGAGTGTAGCTAGTGCTCAGAATGTACTCCATTCCAGATCTTAAGGAAAATAGTTTAGAAGATAATTCTACCGATATGCTATAAAATATGAATATAAGTAGCAACTAGAAGCTCTTGCCGAATTTTAATCCACAGGTTTGACTCAGGCGATGAATCGGTACTATTGCATTCCAGTTTCCTGTCAAACTGAGGCATATCTTCAAGAGGTAAACTTTTGACCAACTGGTAAGGAAGATGACCAATTCGATCGGCCAACTTGGACCCATCGTTTCCATTGCTAGCCTGAAGACCAGGAAGAAGGCTCTGTGGGTCAAAGGTCACCCAAAGTGCTGAGAAGGCTGCAGATTTTGTCGAAGGATAGAAGGGGGATTCGAATGTTTCTTCCACTGAACAAAATGGCCAGTTACTGAAAAATAAAAGCAAAGACCACGATTATAACAGCACTAACAAATATCTCCGGCTAAATTTTATCAGACTATATATTGGCACATTTCTCATGGAAATAAAATAAGAATTTAACGCGTTGATTGGCAGTAGGTCTAAGGAGGCTATTAAGAGATGTTAAAATTTATATTCCCTTTACACCAAAGACCCCCATGTTAATTAACTTCCGAGAACTCTTGAATTTGAATACTCACCGTCCAATACCAGCTCATTTAATATAATTCAAAAAAATCACAGATATGACGGTTCACAGACATACAATACAATACAACTGACAAAATTAACTTCTTAGCGAGATATTACTTAATTATTGCCAATTGGCCATAAAATAAGACAGTTTTGTTACGATTAGAAGTATGTTGTTAGAAGAGCGCGATTGGCCGTAAGAGGAAATAAAAAGTTTGAGGAATTAGAGCTTTACTACCTTTGAAGTTTGGTTTCAATGGATTACCCATGATTTAAGTAATGGATACCGTTCCCATTTCAGTTTCCTGAATGAGTTCACATCCGAAGTATTCACATCTTATTGACCATTTTCATAAGTTTAATGACTTGCCACGTCATCTCTATTTATTTGCTTACACTCAATCTAGAAAGGAGTGACTAGCAAAGCAGAACCCATTATTAGTAACTCCATAATTCCCAATGTCAATTTTTTTAGGTATCCTCTATTGGCAATGGAATTTTGTCATAAACCAGAGGCACAAAGCAAGCAAATAAATTTGAAATCTTAGCTAATCAAATCACTTACATCGACTTGGCTTCTGTTCGAGAGATAAAGCAGTGTTTACATCCAGGCATAAGACAAGATATTCCATCCTGAGCCGACTTTGAAATAGCCGAAAAAATAAAGGGTACGCCAGCACAACCTGGAAGGAATCAAAAAGTTGATAACATAACTTTCATTCCGAGAGATCTGGGTCATAACCATGACTTACTGGTTTGATCAGCTCGGGCAACGGAAGAATGGGCTAGAACCAGGAGAGTTGGTTGTGGATCAGATGTCTCATTTTGATCAAATCTTTTACCCCAAACATGATGTCGGAAGACACCCGGTTCATCAACTCGTGGCCATGGTCGAATACTACTAAATCCAAGGAGCTCTGGATGTTTCGTAGCTACAAGAACTGTCCAGGGAGATTTACGATCAGCCTGAGGACAAATGAGAAAATAGAAATAAGTTACTCCACAAGACTTTAAACTTGCGAGTGTTTTGGTTAACGGACGCTTTGGGGAGGAGAATTAAGTACACGAATTTCTGTTTTCCATTAGCAGAACTGAGTGGAACTGACTTTATTCGAAAAAGCAGTTAGTAAAACGTGCTTAATGGAAATGAGCACTTAATGTTAATGGACAGAAGAGAAATTCACATATTTTGAGAACTGTTTCAAGCCCTTCAAAACGTGTGTTTGTAACTACAGTTACAATTGTGAGTTTCCCAGAATCTAACAAGATTGGCAGATTAGAGTAATTGAACTAATTGCTTAAGCCAAAGTGGATTAATAATAACTTCTAAACTAAAATCAACAAGTTAAGTGAATCGAAAGAAGCAACTCATTCGTTCATGAAAAACCCATTAGCATAAAAGTCTTATTATATTGAGCTATTATCTTATAGCTTTCCACTTTTTGGAATAATGTCCTTTTGTATTACGTAGATTTGTTTGAGGACCGAAATGCATATCTACCTAGTGCACTGCGCTCTTGCCAACCAGAGCAGTGATCGAGCCAAAAGCCTGACAAGAGGTAAGGTAATTTTGATTCGTTCTTGGCTTATTCAAAAGAGCAGCTCTGTGACCAATACTAGGGAATAGATCTTCTCACCAAATCTTATAAAGCATTGGAGTTAAAAAAGCGGTCACTAGTTTGCTTTCAAAAGAATTGGAATTGAGGACTTGATTTTAAAAAAAGGATATCATGTGGTTCATTGCCCAACACTTTTTAACCAAGTGAGATGGCTTCAAAATATTCAAAATCAAGGTGACCTCAAGGGCAGAATCATTGATCACAGTTGCATTTCACGGGAACCCTCCATACTTCAGGATTCGAATCCTTGCATTTCACTTGACCCTCCAATAGAACCAATATTGATGTCTGGACAACTTTCCATCTTACTTGTATTCTAATTGGAAGCTTACTTGATAAAAAGTTAGACGAACAGTTCAACAAAAAAAGTGATCATTGGTGGATTGACTAATTTCTCAAACCGTTCTATACTTCAACAAAACAAAAAAATATTTTCATAAAGATTTAAGCTATTAAATCCACCATATGCTTCGGCAAAAGTACAAAACAAATTTTTCAAGCCGACACCACATAGGTCGCACGAAAAGAATGTAAATAGTTCTGACACGTCACATAAACGTCATGAGCTCCTTGCAACATGCGCTCATAGAAGTTTGCCGCAATGGAAGGAAAGTCTTGTAAATATTGAGATTTTTACTGCCAAATCATCAGCGAAGGTTCTTAAAAGTTAATCTGAACAGAAACCTCGGCTGGCTCAGGTCAAAGGTTGCAAGGGAAAAAATCGAGAAGCGGTTATATGGGAGCTTTTACTAAATCGGCTATACCCAAGCCCACCATCTGAAATGTGTCGGGGGAAGAATAACAGCGATATTTCTAATCTGTTTCATCGCTGTCACTAATAGAAATAAAATGAAAGAAGAGAACATTCATGCACCGTCAGCCACCTCCATTCTGAATGAGATAAAATGGGAGATGAGGCATTAAAAATGAAGGAGCACTAACACCAACAACGGAGTAAAAATGACAACAAGCAAAACCAAAAAAAGAAGAAGATCAATTTAATACACGACTTTAAACTTTATTATCACGTAGAAAGAGGAGAGTCGAAATCATTGCAAGATAATAGACAGCTACAAATCACGACATTCAAGTAAAATAAGTGGATGGAAAAAATGATAATCAAAGGAGTCGATTAGTAAACGCTTTCACGATACACACACACACGCACACACACACAAAAAAAGAGACTGCGGAAGTGAAATAAGTAGATGGAGAAGAGTGGAAAATCGAAATCAGTAGCGAGCTGAGATGTCCTTATTGCGGTAGATTTCCACAAACTTGGCGTACTCGTCTGCAGTGAATCCTGTGGCCTTAGCAAATGGCTGCTCCTCCATCAATTCACGATAGGCGGTGAATTTGGGGTACGAGGAGGCGATACTGGCTCCTGTGACATCTGAGGTGAGAGAAGCAATGCGTTGAAGAACACACTCCCAGCCATTCAGGAAAGGCGCCAGAGCCATATCTGCAAGGCTTAATTTGTCGCCTATAATTAGAAAAATGCCATAAAGTTAGCATTCTATTAGAAGAATTCAATTTGCATAAAAAATAGTAAACACTGCTATTCTAAAACCGGGGAAATGATAAATAAATATATGTGTAGCGAACATAATGCCTAAGATAAAAGGTATGACTGTCTATCGATAAACCGCAGTAATGAATCCAAAATTCAAATGAAGTAGAACTTTTGGGTAGGCCGGCGAATAATTACTACCTCCGCGATTAAGTGTTGCAAAATTGTAAAACGGAGAAAAGGACTTGAGAGAATAGAGCTTCGACTTTATTCCACCCAACAAGCACAATCCGAGTGCCTATGCATTAGACCATGGTAGAGAAAGGGGAGAACTGTAGGAAAAACGATGACCTGCTATTCCATCAAACTGTTAGTCAACTTTTTCCTGAACTAGAGGAAATGCACCTTAGCTTGCGTTTTGATGATTGGCAAAATCGATATAAATGTATTTAAAAAAGTTCACGGCTCGGCCAAGCAGCATTCTTACCATTCAGCCCTAATCCTTATTTAAGTAAATATCCTCAATCCTCTCAAAAGAATACCCTCCAAGTACCCTTCTTTCAAACGATAAACTCCCATTTCGTCTTGCCCATTTTAGTAGCACAAACATTAAATTTCAATAAAGCTATCCTCTTATTTCTTAAATCAGTACTTAACGTTGAACACTATTCTAATTCACTGTTTTCGATGGATTATAGAAAGTTTGTAGAACCAGAAAATCTCTAATTTCCTAAATGCGGCTTTAATCTCCGAACGGCTAGTGCATAAGTACATTCTTGAGTGCACTCAAATAACACCTACTTAGGCTAAAGTATAGGCGTTGACGCATGAAAAACTGAAAATATATCAATTAACTAAAAATGTCTTGACATAGAATAAGCGCCCTCTCCTATTTGGTGTTCTGCTATTGAAGCGTCTCGATTCAAAAACACTTTAAAAGCAATTACATGTCTATAAGCCTTGGAAAGAGGGATGTGTTTTTTAATATAACCTTTACTAGGAAGTGGTAAAAAGTGAATTGAGGGAACTTGACAAATAAAATCCCACATAATTACTGTCGCGGTTTGGGCCTCGTTTCCAAAAAGAACTTCATTCATTAGAGTCTTTAAAGCCTACTATTTGATAAAAATAAACAAAGTTTGGTTATAATTAGCCATTCAGTCGACCTCGGGCTCCACAGAGTCGAGGAGCAACAAGGTCGCAAAAAGTCGAGAGGGGGAAAATAAGAGTGATTCATAGATAAAGAGGAGACAGAAAGACACAGACACAAAGGTAGGAAGAAAAAGGCGAGGTGAGTTCCGTGGAAGTGGTAGAATATGACGTACATTTCGGTCATGGTAGTTGGACGTCGGAAGTCAACTGCCGGTTTACAGACACTTGTGCCATATAAGTATACGTGACCCAGGTAAGTCTATCGTGCATCCCCTGTTTTAAGTCAATCATGAAATGATTAAGGAATGCGCTATATCGGGCCGACAAATCACTACCTTTAGCACCGAAGATAGAAAGAAACTGATAAAAGGTGGCAGACAATATTAGCGTTGATCAAAATGACATCATAAAATTCTGTGAAGGGAACTTGCTCATCGGGTGATGGATTATTCAAGCAATTATCTGCCATTCTCCTGTGTGGAAATGAAATACCATCACGTATAGATTACTCACTAATTAGGCAGTCAAGTTATTCGATTAACTTTACTATTAGAGTTCACTTATTGAAGCGTTGAATTAATATGCCATATACCAAGTTAAATCAAACAGCTACAATAATTTTGAATATCAGGGACAGAAAGTAGCACAAAAACGGGAGGGACTATAAAAATGAAAATATAACAATAGTTAATCTATAAATTTTTTACTTAACTAATTTAATATTTCCTTTAATGACTTATTCTAGTTATTATTGAAAGTAATGCTTTTAGCTTAACTTGTTTATAATGAATTATGATGGAGTAAGTTAAACTAAACACTCTTCAAATTGCACTGTACTAATTTATTGTTATAAAAAAGATAGTTTGCTTCCATCTTTGGTTAGAATAACTAATTTTACATTGTAAAATGACCAAACTATTAAATAGTGATTTATAACGTTTGGATGGGATAAATTCCAAAATCTAGTCCTTATGATCAAATGGACAACTGAAAACTTCAAGAAATTAAAAGAAGTAGAACTCTGAGTTTTATAGATTCACTACGTATTTCTGTTTGACTCCTGTCAATATTTAACTGGCATATTCTCTGCAAGTTTCTATGTTTAGCTGTTATCCTTTATACAAAATTAATAATTTCTAGAACTTCCTTAATTATAATTTAAGCAAATACATCGGTGAATTGAAAACTTTCTTCCAAGGAGGGGGAGGGAGGGGGGGGGGGTTGAAAGCGTTCATAGTTTACATAATCGGAGTCCTAACAACAACACTGTGATAGCTAGGTTTAGGTACGTGGCGGTGAAACATAAAATTAATAAATTTCTTCAGCTAAAAGGGTGTGTACAGGCAGTATTTGTAAAATTTTTGCATTAATCAATATACTTCACCACGAATTATCTTTAGATCCAGTACGATGATCCGACTCCGACCAGTAGTCATCACCAACATTAGCACAGATATCACAAAAACTTGACCCCGTTTCTCGATCCACCTCGTTTCAATATCCCCATGACTGATTCACTGAAAATTGTCTAACAAATATCACCCAATCTAATACATTTAGAATTAACCCTATTTATCCAGAAAACACTCATATATTTTCCGCAAATAAGCTGTAAAGCTAATTAAAAAAATGATAAAGAACCGTATTGAAAGAAACTACAATTTGTGTGTGAATTTAACCACATAATTAGCGCCAAACTTAGCTGTGATAAACAATGAATGAGGGCAAAAGGTGAGTAAGTTGGTCAAAAGAGTACATCACAATTTCTTGCATATAAACAAGGAAAAAAATTAGCTCTGCCTTTTACCCTTCCTCACAAATTATGGTAGACATTTTAATGCTCCTGGGGAAAGTAATAAACTGGGGTCAATGAGCTGGCTAAATGAGTCCAGCGTTGGGACAATTAAAAAAAATACATCTTTTTATCATTTTAATAAAAAGAACTGAATATTCAATTTCGCCAACGAAAAAATCCAGAGCGAAATGGGAAAGAAACAAGCGTGTCGTAATCGAAACATTTAATAACGCAATAGCAAAGTGTTCTTAGTGTAAACTTTTCAACGAGGAAATTAATTCAAGTGCGAAAATGATTGGAATTCAGATATTCAAAAATGAACAAAGCAAAAAAATAAATTCTAAAACAAAGATAGCTAATCGAAATACATAATTCAAAATTTCTGGTACATAGTAATAACTAATATACAAAGATTTAGTAGGAACTAACAATTTAGTGCCCATTAAGGTGAAATTATAGACAAGTTATTTGAGGTGCCCCTCATCACATTTGTCGCAATTTCTTGATTTACTAAATCTCTCAATCAGTGCTCATTTGAGAATATGCATTAAAACGAGGGGTAATAGATCTATAGCGTGCATTTGCATTTAGAAGTTTGGTGTATTCTGCCTCTAAAGCTTCCAAATTGTTGAGAATTTAATTAGCGGTTTATTTTAGTTGACACTCAAGTAAGCAATAGCAAGCGCCAATGGTATGCTGTGGAGGGTTTATTGTATGGCGTAGAATAAACGTGCAAGAAGAGTATGAATAATTGCGTGAGTAGAAGGTCCAAAATTTAACACAGTATTTAAAACTAGCTGCAATAATTATTCCGCCAGATTAATAGACAACCACAAAAAAGGCATTAAATGACGGTTGGAACAAAGTATATGTTAATCAGCTCATAAAATAGTTTCGGCAATTCCATCAATAAACTTTATCCAAAGCTAGTGATGTCAGTTTCAATTTTCATTCACATATTTTGCTGTGGTGTCATTAAATTCCCATTGACCCATACTATTACAGACTTCCCAATGGTCTACTAAATTGGTTACTTAGTTTCTTGCGGCTATTTCATCTAGCATTTATGTATTCGACGCATTCGTGGTGTTTAACTTATTGCAAATCTACTATTTCAGCGGGTAATAGAAAATGACACTCTTACTAGTTTCAGGCAAAAAAAATATTTAAAGAAATAGCTTTACGTTCACTGACTTTCAGTTTCTTTAGAATTGATTTCCATCATGTGTCAATATTATATTTATTGCTAACATGTTAGTATATAGATCACTACTTCCAGAATAATACTTAAAGAGTTGCTAGTTTCAAATGAGAAAATCTGTTTTAGCTATAAATCTTTGTATTTCTTCCAACTTGCCTTAGTATACTTGAAATATGCAAGTGGTGGCTATCCCGAAACTTGACACATAAATACAAAGCAAAGGGGTAAGCGAACAACGCATTAAGCGTTCGGAATCCTTAAGCCAGAGTTACACATAAATCAAGGTAAATTTACTTCCTGTCATGGAAATTACATCAAATGCATTACAAGAGATCTGCGGATTATACATAAACTTATAAATATTATGAAATAGAATTGTGGATATCGGGAGTAAAATTTCAATCAACGCCCACTAGTTAAGGTGACAATAACTGCATATATTAATCCGTATTTACAACATACAATGCAAGAAAATGCCTTCAGGGAATTATACGGTCGAGAGGACACTAAAATTTTGAAGTAGTCTTTTAACACAATGACTCGCGACTTCCTATTTACCTCATGTAATCTAATAGCTTCCCATCTGACGAACAATAAAATCAAATGGTGCGTAAATGGCATATTTCCATAGAAGCATAATTATAATGGAAACAGTAAATGTAGTGACGTACCACAGAAATATGGGCCAACAACAGCAGCATCAATTTTACTGCAAGCATCAAGAAGATCATCAACATCAGAGACTGAAGGGTCCAAGTAGACTATCTTGAAACGAGGCTGAGTAAACTATAAGGGAAAATAGGAAGAAATTAACTAATCATTATGAAAAGATCTTAAAATAAATTTAAAGAGGGTATAATATACTAATTTGAATATGTGGTTAGTCATTAAACGATCAAAGCAACTAGTAAAGGTATTTACGAAAGGAAATTCCACTATGTAAGTATTAAAACTATTCAATGAGCATGGTAAGGTAAGAACAAAATCTAGGAAATTTGTCAATAGAGAAATTAAAAAAAATCATTCCTTACATGAACACACACACTCTTTATATTTGAACCGTTTTAAACTGTTTCCTGTGCCTAAAAATGAATCCAAGGCAGAAATCAATTAAAGCTTGTCAAACATGGCAAGCTTTTAAGTGAGAGATAATACAATTGAATTAATGCGCTTTTGACAGTTATTTAAGATCTCAAGGCGGCGTCTCAGCTTGAGGATAGTTAGACGTATTAATTAAGATAAAACAATTAAAGCTTACGGCCATAGAAAGAGATAAAGCGTTCTTAAACGCATCCTCGCCACAAATACTAAGAAGACTAGTCTCTGGATCTCCTTTGAATTGGTCAACAAAACGTATAATCATGTCTGATTCAGCGAGTTTTTCCCCGCGATACCGCAGAAACGGAGTTTTTCCACTTGGATGTAGACGCAAATACCAGTCTGGCTTATTTATCAAATTTATGAGGACTCGGTCATATCTTAATTAAGATCAATGAATTAGAGTTGTCAAAAGGTTTAAAAAATCTATTGATGAAAACAAGCTTACGGAATTTTGTGATAATCAAGAGTGTAGCGAACCCGTTGACAGAAGGGGCAAAATTTAAAATCATACAGGGTGAATTTATCTGGATTAATATCTGGTTCGGGGTCGCCTAAATATAAAATTGGAGAATAAGACTTTGATCAACGTTAAAAGTGACAAGCTACAGAAAATGGTAAAAAATAGCATAGTGTAGTCATGAAGAATAAACGAAATATTCAAAATTTTCAAACCTACCTTGCCCTAAGTGGTACATCACAAGCTAAATAATGGATTGGATTGAGGCGCAATAAAAGGTTATTCGACAGCCAATTGCCGCAAAGGTTACCGATAGAATAGTTAAAAGTTTGGAAGACATTGAAATTTAAGTATTATAGACAGGCTTACAACAAAATTTTTGTTTGAACTTTAAAATAGCTTGTCTTATTTAATTTTTAGTTTGAAAAGATAAGGTAAAGATCAAAAAGAGCTTTTCGATATTTTTGTTACACAAATAGACCTACAATAGCCTAATAGTTCATCTATTCTAAATTATAATACATATCAGGTCTATTTTAATCTCTTATTTGCGGAATCATCAAGGGATACTGGTAAATCTTCGTCAAATGTTTTATTAAGATTGATAATTGGTTCGACTAAGACGTGTTATAGGAAGATATCTCAAGGCGATGTTGTATAGAGAGAGGAAATTATAGTCGAGAGTCATCCAGAAAAATACTCTGCAGAAGCAATGTTCTTCTAGCATGCAAAATAATGGGAAAGGGAAAATCTTATGTGTGATTTCATTTAGCAATTACTATTAGCCAACAACAAGTTAGGCTATGAGCTTAAAAGTAACTACTAAATGTAGTTTGAGTTAGGGATTTAATTGCATTTGTACACTTATCTGATATACTTATGTGAGATATATTATGTCCATATTTCGGGATTACAATTCAAGCATTTTAATGATATGAAGTGCGTTCTATATATGAAAAATTCAATTAATAATTCATAGCTAAACATATTAATTATTTTCGTAATAAACATTAATTCGATATGCATTATAAGCTAAATTTCACATCAGTTATTCAGTAAATTTCCTTAATTTTTCCTATCCATCCCTTTCAGTTTGCCTTATTACCTCTCAAATGCCTCTATTCCGGCATTGGTACAATGAACATTGAGTGAATGTGAAAAGTCAGCATTGTTAATGAGCCATTAATTACATTTTAATTTCATTTGAACGAACCATTCGCTTATGCTTCTAAATCAATGGCATATAATCCAAAAATTAAATTAAGTTGAACCTATAATCATTAATTGATCAATGAAACATTCCATCTTTATACTTAAACAACAAAATTAAGAGGCTACTATAAAAGATAGATTATAGAGGCTTCTAAACGGGTTTAAACATCTAGCACAGAAAAATATATAAGCAAAATTGGTTCAAATGTTTATTTATTCGAATATTTAATAGAGTAGTGTGATTAAAGTTTGGGTGTCAGTAAAAATATATGACCAAGGCGAATTGAACGATTACTAAAAGTCTTATAAGGTAAAAATAGAACAAATAAGAACAAATACGAGAATCCCAGCACCAAATTATAACTTGGTCTAATGTATCACAACGAGAATATGCATTACAGAATATTTATTTATTTCAAATGGCCGGCGTTTTGATAGTTATCGTTAGCCCTTTTGCAGACTTCGAACCTCACAAAGGGGAGTGGGAAAAATTCGAGTGAGGGGAAGAAGAGTGATATACAGATGTAAAGAGACAGATGGGCACAAACGCAGAGAAGCAAGACGAGTACTGTTGAAGTGGTCGAATTTGACATATAGTGGGGTCAAGGCGGTTTTAAGTCAAAAGTCAACTGCCGATTAATTCACTTTTTTGCCGTATGAGTATACGTTGCCTAATGTGCACCACGTGGAGGTAAGTCTATCGGGCGCAACGCATTACAGAATATAAATACACGTTCCCCAACATTAAATTATGCAATCAAATGAGAAGAAGGGGAAATGATCATAAATTCTAAATATTCATCTATCAAGATATTAGCTGAAGAAAAGTTAGAATTGCTATGGCACAAAATATATAAAATATTTTTTCATGTTAATCGACAAAGAAGACACTTATATTTGTTTTATCAGACATACTGAAATGTTATTAGACAAACCTTGGCAAATTAATTAGATCCATAAATTTATAAGCCTAATAATAAAATTTACAAAAAAATTCAAGTCTACATTAATGAGGGAAGACAAAGGTGCGAGTAAATACGAATATTATCGTAAAATATAAAACACTAAAAAGTATACAGTGATGGAGCATATGAAGAACAAGTCAAAACTAGGAAAAAAGATATTAAATTTTATGCATGTAGTCATTAAAACTTTTGGATTCATTGAAAAAGCTTAGTAATTTACAAAAATTTGAGGTGTTTATTCGAGAAACGTAAGTTATAGTTCAACTTCGTTTCAGTTACAAAACGAGAATTAATTTTAAAAAAATATTTTATAATATAATATAATGCTGTTTTTAAGAAAGTGTAAGAATTCATTTACCAGAAGTTGCCTAGAGTCACACTGTGAGATTAAACATCTTATCGTGACCTACAAAATGGGTCGCAGTCAAATTTTTCATTGGTCATAGCTCTTCAGTTTGCTTGGGTTATAAATGGCGCGATCTGCGCTGCAAAGTCTCAGACAGCATTTCAACACCCAAAATCGTATTAAAGAAACAACAGGATATGGAGGTAAAATTCATGCGCTCGGTTGGAATAATGTGGGGACAAAGCTTGCCACGGGTTCTTCGGACAAATCTGTCAATATTTACCAAATGGATTCCACTCGCTTGGTACTTTCTTCACATTCATATCATCTAAATGTTGTCTAAAAGAGCAGGCTCCAAACGTTTAGAGGTCATACAGATAGTGTTGATCAATTGGCTTGGCATCCAACTGCTAATGATATCGTCGCCACTGTAAGTGCCGATAGCACTGTACGTCTTTGGGATTGTCGATCGAAACGTATTACAACGGCCCAACTAAAGGGTGAAAATATTAACCTCGCATGGTCTCCAGATGGAAATACAATTGCTGTGGGAAATAAAAACGATCTTGCAAGTTAAAATTTACGTTAATTTATTCGGGCTTAGATCTCTTGGCTAGACGTGCGCGCAGATCTTAAAGTCATCCAATCGGAACAATTCAGCTGCGAAATCAATGAGTTCTCGTGGAAACCTTCTTTAGATTTAATGCTCTTTGCAACCGGAACTGGTGGAGTTATGGTTTACAGGTTTGTTCTTTTTAATTGATTACTAATATCAATTCGAATAACGTTGATTTTAAGCAAGTATTTTATTTCGTCTTAGTGGTAAACCTGGAGAAATGAAGCGCGAATGTACTCTACCAGCCCATCCGTCTAATGCCATGTGTCTGCAGTTCTCTCCTTCTGGTAGTTATTTTGCTATCGGCAGTGCTGATGCTCTTGTTTCACTTTGGGATGCAGATGAATTCATCTGTCTTCGAACTCTTGCCAGGTAATTTTTTTCGCCTTATTTCACATGTATTCAGAGCCCTACATTAAAATCGTATAGGTTGGTGTGCGTGGTTATAAGTAGTAACATTGAGTGTTAGTTGAGAAGAAACGTTGTGGATTTGGAACAATTTTTTATAATCGAACGGTTCATCTGTTCCTCTCTTACATGTTGGTAAGTTGTGTTTCGATTGATACAGAGATTAATCTATTTAACGCCTCTGATGAATGGCAAGAAGCTGATAAAGGGGATTAGACATGTCTCTTGAATGCTTCCAGGGTCTTTTTATTGAATTCTTTTATATATTTGAATACTTTGTATGCCTAGTTAATCACTTTAATATTTGTTTATCCTTTCCTATGTCCAACCTGGATGGTCACAGCACTCAGCTACCTACCCAAGCCCTTGATTGCCTGATGGGTCCGCTCTAACGCCTCATTTTATCCAAACGAGAAAAGTCAAACAAATGATAATTTTAATAGAGGTATAACAAATCAGAGCTCATAACTGAGGTGTTTATGTTCTGTATGAGGATTATAAATTCCCACAGACTGTCTTAAATTCATTCATCGCTGATTCCTGGTCGAGAGTTATTTGGTCTAAAACTCCAATTTTTTATCTAAAACCCAAATCATACGTTTAATTTCAGTTTATATTGAAATTTCGTCTATTAACCATGCGTTCATCGCATATATTTACACTCAATCACTGGGCTTGTGCCATATTCAGGGACCTTTTTCTTAATATTGGTACATTGTGCCACTTTCATGACTATTTATTTTGCAGATTGGAGTGGCCAGTTAGAGCAATGGGTTTCTCCTATGATAACCAACTTATCGCTTCGGCCAGTGAAGATCATTTTATCGATATTGGCTGCGTTGAAACAGGTACGTCAATGAATCAAGCTTATATCTCATTTTTAGGTGATCAAGTATACCGGTTAGGAACTCAAGCAGCGGCTACTTTTGTCCTCGCATGGCATCCGAAACACCTTCTGCTTACTTACTCCAGTGAGGCAAAGTATGATCGGGATCAAGGAGTGATCAGAATGTTCGGTTTTCCCTCCGATTCGGATGGTCGAAAAACCTCAAACCTTCCTGTCCCTATGGACCTCTCCTAAATAATTTCCAAAATTCCTCTCTACTTGTTTATGTAAAGTAGACTATTTTGTGTTAAATATATATTTTCAAAATTTTCACTTGCTTTTTATCATTCGAACCTTAACTCCGAGCTGACTCTTAAGTAAATTATTTCCCATTTATAACCTGGCGAAACCTGGCTATTCATTGGGCCATCTCTTTTGTTCAACGTTTTGCAACGGATGCGTTTCTATAATATGTAGCGATAAAATATTAAGTTAATGAAACATTTACAACAAAAAGGTCAAGTTGTAATTTTATCGAATGGATTTGAATTTGACAAAACATTTCTGGTTTATTGTTTCAATTTATCTTGGGGGTCGTGGTAGACTGCTTCTTACTTTGTTACGTAAAAGTAGACGCTTCAAATTTTTAATATTTATTTATTTCAAATGCCAGGCGTTTTGATAATCATCATTAGCCCTTAAGCTGACTTCGGGCTTCACAGAGAGGAGGTGGAAAATCAAAGTGAGCAAAAGTCGAGGGAGGGAACAGAAGGGTGCTTCACAAATGTAAAAAAGACAGACAGACATACGAACACAAAGGTTGAGAAAAGGAAAGGTGGGTACTGTAGAGGAGGTTGAAGATGACATACTGTCGGGTCATGATAGTTTGAAGTCAGAAGTCAACTGCCGATTAATAGACTTTTTTACCGTACGAAGATACGTTGTCCAGGGTGCACCACGTGGAGGTAAGTCTATCGCGCACCCCACGTTGCAGACATATAAATGCTTCACCATGTGCGTACCATTTTAAAATGGACCAGGCCCTACTTTTCTCATATTTATTCCATAAGTCAAATATTTGTGAACTCACTTTGTGTGAAAATGTTAAGAGACACATAGCTACAAGTTACTATTCTAGATCAACTTGTTATTTTTCCGAATCGGAATCCTCAAGTGTTCCACTTTCTCTCTCTTTTCTATATGGTCCACACACCTCCCTTTTGGAAGGGTTTCATAAATATT